CAAGCTGGAAAATTTGATCAAGATGGAAAATGAGTTAGATCAAGATCTGCTACCAGTCAAGAGCCACTGTTAAGTTCAGGGGAGGAATGTTGATTCATGGTGAGGTGGCTTACTCCGATCCCAGACCAGCCTGTGCAGATTGGTTGGTTTTGCCAGCTCGCTGACAGTGTTGAGGAGCACTACTGAGCTGGTATTTGTTGTACTGCTATTTTAGTGCACTCGATGGGAGAGTGAGGAAACAGGAAACTAACTCCCATCTCCTGCAGTTGCCCTTCCCCCTTACATAGTGAGTCCCTCTAGGAGAGGGACCTTCGTCTGCAGCGTTACGTCTGTAAGCCAGCCCTGCCTCGCCAGTGGTCCTGTGGTGGGAAAGAAAATACACATGAAGAAAATCCGTCTATAATCTTAGATCAGGTGGTTTTTAGTTACTTTACCTCTGTGTCTCCTCCTTTTGAATGAGCAGATGATTTAAAAATGACTTTTGCTTTAATTCTCTTTTCTCCTCTTTTCCTTGCTCAGCCATTGTGGAGTAAATTAACCCTAATATATTAAAAAAAAAACCGTGAAGAATGAGCAAAAGAAGGCAGTAACCCATAACTGTATCTTTAGCACTGTACCGCTCTGAGTAATCTGGATTTCAGTTTTTGATTGGGCAACCGTGTGAGGATTATGCCAAGCTGGCAATGTTAGTAATGAACTGGAGACATTATTCCGTGAAACACAAGTATTTATTTTAAATTTTAAAAGTTGTAAGTCCAATGATGGGAAGTAACTTCAATCCCTATAAATAAAGTATAGGAGGGTTATTTTTATTATGAAATTTTTCAAACAAATTTTATATATTTATATACTTATATAAATATACAAGCATATATAAAACAAAAATTTCAAACACATTTCCAAGTATACAGAATAATATAATGAACCACCTTTACCTGTCACCCAGATTCAATAGTTATCAAAATTCTGTCACATTTTTGCTTCCGCTACCCTTTTCATTGCAGTTTGCTGAAGAAAGCACATTCTTGGTTTGTTGTTTTCACTCCCACATATTTCAGTATGCGACTGGAAAGAAATGCAGATACTTCTTCCACATCCGCAAGGTCATTGGCTCATCCTATAAATAATTTCTTGGTGTCATGTAATATGTAGTACATATATAAATTTCCTTCATTATTTGAAAGTATCATTTTACATATGTTTTGTTTAAGGTGAAATCTAAACAAGGTTCACACTTTGCATTTGGTTGTTATGCCTCTGAAGTTCTTTTAATTTTGTGATGCAGATTGTTGGTGGCCCGGTTGGGTGGCTGAGGGGGACTTTAGTGGGGAGAAGCAGGGCGAGGTGATGGCTGTTAAGCCATGCTGAACAAAACCTTTAAAATGAGAGGGTCTTCTGGGACTAGGGAGATTGATTGTAACATTTATGGCCGAAATAATATTTTTTAGGCCCATGTCACACTTTTTTAAATGCCTCCTTTAGAGTACCATTTAGATATACGTATTTTGTGCTATGCAAGACCCAAACTAAATTTGAGTTGCTATTTGGAATGTTTAGTCAGAAACTGAACTTCTCTATCTTACACTAAAGTAGAATAAAGGAAAGAAATAATGCCACATTGTTTTTAAGTGATCTAATTCTCACTACATAATGGGAATCTGTTCCCTCCCTGCAGAATGTCTTCCTCAATTTACAAAGCAGAGTGCCTTAGTTCTCCTTATCTGCAGTCTCATTTTCTGGGTTTGGTTACTAGTGGTCAGCTTCTGTTTGAAGATATTAAATGGCAATCCCAGAAATAAACAATTCATGTTTTAAATTATGCACCATTCTGAGTAGCATGATGAAATTTCATGCCTTCCCATTCCATCCTGGGCAGGACGCGAATAGTCCTTCTATCCAGCACACCCAGGCTGTGTTTACAGTACCATAACATATTTTGAGAGAGACCACATTCGCATAACTTCTATTGCGGTGTACTAATAATTGTTGTTTTATTATTAGTTATTGTTGTTAACCTCTGGCAGCGCCTAATATGTAAATTAAACTTTATCATAGGTATGTATGTGTAGGAAAAACACAGTGAACGTGGGGTTCAGTAGTATTGTGGTTTTAGGTGTCCACCCAGGGCCTTAGGATGTGTCCCCCTGGGTAAAGGGGGACTGCTGTATTTTTCCTTTGGACTTTATCTTTTTATTTTCATATATTAGTTTTAGTTAAATCCAATTATGACCCTTCTAAAATAATTGTATCTACCACTGAGATATAGGATAACATCATAGTGTGGCGGGGCCTAAGTTTAAAAGTTTTTTAAGAAATTAAATGTTCTTAAGCACCATAGAATAACATTTAATATAACAAACAGCAGGATTTCTGCCAAGATGGAGGCATAGGTGGAGACGCCATGCTTTCTCACACAACCAAGTTTAGAGACAACTAAATATTAGCAACAGAAAACACAGCCAGAACACAGAAAATTGAACTTTTTGGAAGTCTGATAACAGTGAATTCTTCAGCCTGACCAGCAAGAGGGGCGAAGCCAGCAGCTGGCGGAGCGGAATTGCACAGGAAAACTCGGTCAGACAGACTCAGGCACACGGATTCCAGGCATGGGGTTGCGAAGGGCCAACCCAGTGAGTGACCCGGTGAGCAACCGGCAAACCCAGTGAGGGGGCAGGGTGATGGATTGACTGTGGTCGCGTGTTTGTGCGCAGATAGACCAGCGAGGGAGTGGGTGGTGAGACGGGACTGAGCAGGCCCCAGCGGCGAGAGGCAGCAGAGGGGCCTCCATTTCCCACTCCGCCCCCACCCCCACGTACAGCGTCACAAACCAGCGACCTCGGAGGCCCCGCCCTGGTGAACATCTAAGGCTCCACTCCTCATTCTAAACGGGCACAAACAGACCAAAAATGGCTCAAGAAGATCTCAGAACCTGAGAGGCCATAACTCTAAGCGACGAAGAAATAGCAACTTTCAGGTGCACAGTTCAAAACACTGATGATCAGGATGCTCACAGAACTGGTTGATTTTAGTCACAAATTAGAGGAACATATGAAGGCTGAACTAATTGAAATAAAGGGAATTGCACAGGAAACCAATAGTGATGAAAAGGAAACTGGGACTCACATCAAGGAGTCCCAGTGAACCAGAAGGAAGAAAAAAATGGCCAAACAGGAAAATATGAAGAAACAACAATTCAAAAAAAATGAGGAGAGGCTTAGGAACCTCCAGGACATCTTTAAACGCTCCAACATCCAAATTATAGGGGTACCAGAAGGGGGAAAGGAACAGCCACCAGTGGAAAACTTATTTGAACAAATAATAAAGGAGAGCTTCCCCAATCTGGCAAAGGCAATAGACTTCCAGGAAATCCAGGAAGCTCAGAGAGTCCCAAAGAAGTTGGAGCCAAGAAGGAACACACCAAGGCATATCATCATTATATTAGCCAAGATTAAAATGAAGGAGAGAATCCTAGAAGCAGCAAGAGATAAGGGGACAGTCACCTACAAAGGAGTTCCCATCATACTGTCAGCGGATTTCTCAAAAGAGACCTTACAGGCAAGAAGGGGCTGGGAAGAGGTATTCCAAGTCATGAAATCTAAAGACCTACAACCAAGATTACTCTATCCAGCAAAGCTTTCATTTAGAATGGAAGGGCAGATAAAGTGCTTCTCAGATAAGATCAAGTTGAAGGAGTTCATCATCACCAAGCCCTTATTATATGAAATGTTAAAGGGGCTTATCTAAGAAAAAGAAGATAAAAAAGATGAACAGTGAAAGGACAGCAAACTCACAGTTATTAACAACCACACCTAAAACAAAAGCAAACTAAAAGGACAGCTAGATCAGGGGGGAAACATAGAAATGAAGATCTCAAGGAGGGTTAGCAACAGGGGATTGGGAGGAGGAGAAGGGGGGAGAAGGTACAGAAAATAAGTAGCATAGATGGTAGGTAGAAAATAGATAGGGGGGCAAGAATAGTATGGGAAATATAGAATCTAAAGAACTTGAGACACATGGTCATAAACTAAAGGGGGGGAATGGTGGGGGCAGGGGAGTGCAGGAAGGAGGGGAATAGAACAACTGTAATGGCATAATCAAAAAAAAAAAAAAGAAAGGGAAAAAAAAGCTAAAGAAGTCAGAGACCTTTAGGAGATGGTATGGGTAGGTCTAAAATGAAGTAAGAGGGCGGGTAAGAGGCTGAGAGTAGACAGAAATAAGAAGTTACAAAGAAAGACTGAAGATGCCTCTGGGTTAAAAGCATGTTTGACTCAGGTATGGAGTGAAGAGAATGTTCATATTTAGAAAGTAAAACAACAATAAAAGCCCTTAAAAGTACTCCCTTCCAAGTATTTGTGGAGTAGTAAAGTGCTCATTTCATATACTTAAAAAAAAAAAAAAAAAGGTCAAAAGAAAAAACCAGCAGGATTTCACTTGGAGGTAATATCCAAGTAACCTCAAAGTGTTTATGCCTCTTCCTAGATAGCATGCTTTATTCTCTGTAGGGTCTGATTGAAATTTGTGATAGCCCACATTTTGGGGGAGATGAAAATGATCACTAAAATGTACTTTAAAATGTGTTTTCTTTGACTATGCATAGCCTCTGTAAATGCAGGGCTGAAAGTACTGTGAGGTGTACAGTTACGCTCTCTTTGCTGCCACTCTGGAGTCTGGCCGTGGCCTGGAACCTCCGTGAGAGCTCGGTTCCCCATCTCTGCGGAGCATTTGAGTGGGAGTACGAGACTAGGTGTTAAAGCTTATTTTGCAGACAACCTACAGTCTTGATATGTTTTTGTAGGAATAGAATCTTTAATAGCTTCAAATCCTAAGATGTATAGTAAAGAGGAGAGTAGGTGAAAAGTAGAAAGTGAGACTTTTACTAGTTTTCCTCCCTCCAAATGTAAGAATACGTATTCTTTTCTAACAGTGTTAATATGAATAAATGGTTTGTACTTTTAACTTTTGGTACCTGATTTTCCAAATGTTTGCTTTATGCCTTTCAGATGCCCTAATGTGAGTCTGCAGAAGCTGCCAGAACAGTGGTTATGGAGTGTTTTAGAGGAAATTAAATGCAGTGATCCTTCGTCTAAACTCTGTGCTACTCGGCGCAGTGCTGGAATTCCTTTCTACATACAGGTACGTATCCTGGGACTGCACAGCCATTGGTCTGGATAATAGCGTGTTCTAACCCCCTGGACGTAAAAGGGAGCGTTGCGTAAGAGACACGTCTGTCTTTTCAGTGCTATAGCATTTGTAGCTTGGTTTTAATATGTGGACAGTACGTACCTCTGGCAGATCTGTTCTTGGAACAAACCCTCTCAGAGGTCAACCTTGTGATAAACAGAGGGTGGTATAGATTTCTGCCTGTTTATTAAGTGGACAGACATCTCTGTGGTACATTCATGCTCACTTCCAAGAAGTGCACACATTGCCTTTTTTTTAATCAGAAAGAAAATAGTCTTCCTCCCATTTCAAGACCTTTAAGACACCATAGGCAACTAGGGTTAACATTTCTTTTGAATCCTTCTGCAAAATGTTCATGTATAAAATAATGTTCATAGCTAGCAGCTAACATTTATGAGTATTGATTTCACATATATTATCTTATTTAATCCTTCCTCAAGCCCTGTAAAATAGGTCCTGTTATCGTCTGTGTATTATAAAGTTGAGTGACTTTCCAAAGGCCACAGAGACAGTAGGAGTGGAACTAAGACTTGAGCCCAGGCAGCCTGACTTCCAAACCCCTCTCTGATTGGGGTGTGTGTGTGTGTGTGTGTGTGTGTGTGTGTGTGTGTTTTCCATTTTAACACAGATGAAAGCATATTACCCATATTGCTTTGCCCCTTGCTTTTTTTCATTTACATTATATCAGGTTGGCCAAAAACTTTGTGTGATTTTTTTTTCTGTAAAATAAATCACATTTCACTTTTCACCAATAACTTTATTGATTTGGATATTTTGAGTATGCTGGCTATCTCCTGTGTGGTATAATGTTGGTTGTTTTCAATTAATGCCTCTATTTGATCACTATACACTTCCACTGGTTGACCCCACTGTTGAGCATCATCCAGCAAGAAATCTCCAGCACAAAACTTCGCAAACCACTCTTGACACGTTTGATCAGTTACAGTACCTTCTCCATACACTGCACAAATCATTTTTTTGTTTCAGTTGTGCTTTTACCTTTTCTGAAATAATAAAGCATAATATGGTGAAAATGTTGCTATTTTCTTCTATTTTCAGTATTAAGATGGCTGCACAAAAATTTGCTAATTTTGATTTTTTGTGTATTTATTTTTTTTGAAATTTTTATTTATTTTTAGAAAGGGAGAGAGAAATCAGTGTGTGAGAGAAACATTGATTGGTTGCTTTTTCGCACACGCCCCAACTGGGGACTGGCCCACAACCCAGGCTTGTGCCCTGACTGGGAATCAAACTGGCATCCCTTTGGTTCGCAGGCTGGTGCTCAATCTGCTAAGCCACACCCACCAGGGCGGTCTTTTTGTTTTTTTGTTTTTAATGCATGCTGATATGACAGCTGTCACAATACAATCTAACAGAATTGTTTCCAATGAAATTAGAGAAACTAAGCTCTACTAGAGCCATTTTATGGGGAAAAAATAACTTTCTGGCCAACCTAATACCTTAAAGATTGTTTCATATCAGCACACCTAGATATTGCTATTGCATAGGAAAATATTTTATTTTCACAATGTTGAAATTAAGGGACTATCACCTTTGTGAATCCAGAGAATAAAAACCAAAGTCCTCACAACACTAAATCAGACCCTGACCTGAAAAGGTCTTTGTTTAATACTCAGTAAGACAGAATTCAGGAATAGGGGTGGTATAATAGAGCAATGAGAATAAGTGGAATGAAGTTTCTGTTTTTTAGTGCCCCTACATTTTCCCTTTCTCCTTCTCATTCTTCTCTCAAATTCTCAGTGTCACGATTTTTTTTTTATGACAGTGGGCAACAGAGGTTGTTGATTCAGAGACCATTAGTTCTGCTGGGTAGATTTTGGTGACTTTCAGAAATTAATCCCTCTCTGATCTTACCCATCCTGGGTCATCGTGGTTTGTTTTCCTGTCTGTAATTTATTCTGACCTAGTGTATTTTTTCCTCATTCATCTCTCTGAGGATGAGTGTTAATGCAATGGCAGGGTCTCGTTGCATGTTTGTGCTGTGTACTCCCTCCACCTCTGGTCCCCACATAGTACATAGTTCCCCACATGGTGGGAACCTCTGCTGAGTGTTAGCTGTGGGGAAAACACTGCCTGTTTAGTTCAGGAGCTTTCCTTTCGTGTAGACAAATACAGTTTTCTTTGAATGGTCATGAAAAAATAGTAGATATGTTTTCTGACCATAAATACGCTGTGATAATTTTCTCTCTTAAACCTATTTTGCTTGTATATCTTTTTTTTTCCAGTGTTTTATGGATTATAAATGCTTCAAAAGAAACCGAGTCACTTGAAACTTTTCACTCATGGGAGCCAATAGCTGCATACTTAAAGAAATACCACTGTTCCTCACAGCCCTGCAGAACCGCTAATCCATTTTCCGTGCCCTCAGATATGCCTGTTCTGGGCATTTCTTGTAAATGGAATCATATGTAACCTTTTGTGTCTTCTTCGCTTAGCATAATGTTTTCTTCAAAAAGTTTTTTTAGTTATTTTTTTAGAGAGAGAGAAGAAAGGAGAGAGAGAGAGAGAGAGAGAAACATTAATTTGTTGTTCCAATTAGCTATGTGTTCTTTGGTGGATTCTTGTATGTGCCCTGACCAAGGATTGAACCTGAAACCTTGGCATATAGGGATGATTCTCTAACCAACTGAGTTACCCAGCCAGGACCTCACTTAGCGTGTTTTCAAGGTTCATCCAAGTTGTAGCATGTGTCAGTACTTCATTCCTTTTTGTTGCCTCATATGGTTTGATGTCCTATTTTTATGTTCATTGCACATTGGCCAAGTGTTAGGTACAAAGTAAATAAGCAGCTCTTGAAAATTCAAATATAGGATCCCTTTCAAGTTTGTAGTATTTTCTTTTGTCCCACAGAGTTTCCAGTGCTACAATTTGATAGTCCTCCAGGTAGAAACTCTTTTGTGAAGACTTAAATGATTGATCTGCAGGGAGTCTCCAAATTCTTAAATTTAATGCTGAGGTGTTTTTGTTGTTGTTGTTTTTTAAGTAAAGAGCATTTTCTCGTTGGGTAAATTTGTTACTAAAACTGACTTGCTTAGTTTATCTGAGACCTGCCACCTAATTATGATCATAGAAGAGTCGTCAACAAGGGCCATTCTCAACCTCTTAGAATTACCTAATTAACAAGCAAACTAGAAGTGACCTTAAAGATTCCAGGATACCACCTTTACCTAATTTGACAGGTGAAGACTCTGGGGAATGAAGAGATTAAACTGCTTGCTCAAGGGCGTGCTCAAGGGCGTGTGGCCTAATGGACTTGCGTGATGCCACACGTTTCTATGAAAGGGATTTTGTATTTTGAGGTTGATTCTGGAAAGTAGCCAAGATAAGAGCTGTGTTAACTTTTGCTTTGTTTTTCCATAGGCACTGTTGGCATCTGAACCGAAGAAAGGCAGAATGGATTTGTTGAAAATAACAATGAAAGAGTTAATCTCTTTGGCTGTGCCTACTGATGACTCACTGAGTACAGTCCCCCAGGTAATAACAGACATTACACAAACACTGCTAGGAAGGCAGTGGTTTAAGTCTTTGCTGCTCTTGAAAAGAAGAAAACAAAAAAACTACCTGCTAAAGATATATAACTCTTGAAGATAGGACAGACATTTGAAACTCATTCAGGTTTTATTTGTTTTTATTGGGGTTTTTTGGTTTTGTTTCATTTTGGTTTTCCCTGTTCACAAAAGAAAGTGTTGCTTTAATTGATATATATTTACCAAAATGAACTACATACTTTTAAACTCTGGTGAAAACATCCAACTTAGTAGATATTTGGTACTACTATTGCATTTCAAAATTTAAAAATGAATGTGCTATCACTTTAAAATTACATGTGGGCTTCTTCCAGTTGATCGACACTTTGTAATTGAGCAGTGGAATCTTTCCCTAAAATGTAGCGTCTGACTTTTGGTATATTCAGATTTTAGTTTTAGCTAATACTTAGTCCCTTTCAGTCACTGCTAAAGTTGGGTTGAGTATGTGTGTGTCTGAGTGTATGAAGTTGGGTTAAGTGCCCCTCACAGCCCTGCTCCGCTCCACTCCAGCCCACCCCACCGTAGTAAATGCCTGTCGAATCCTTCTTATCTAGGCTTGCCGGGCAAGTGCTTCGTGGTAGGACATTCCTCCTCGTCTGTGGGAGGCCTGTCCTATGTCAGGGAGCAGCTTGGCAGCTGCAGTGTACACTAAGTACATATGGTTTCATTAATCACCTTTCAGAAATGATCATTTTAAGATATTTTAAAATAAAATGTGAGAAATATAACTTCTATTTTCCTAAACTATCACTTTTAAAAAGAACTATTTTTTGTATAAGAACTTCTAAAAATAATAAAGTTTAGTTTTAAAGAGTACTGAATAATTATTGCCCTACTCTGCTTCAAGATCATTAATGGCATTTTCATGATCATATTTATTAAATTAGTAAAATATTTAAATTTATCTCTGACCAGTCTCTAGGTGTTAGTTGATGATTTGCTTTCCTTCTCCCTTACCATAGTTTATTTCTTTATTATTTTTATTATGTATCTGTGATGCATTTCAGCATATAAAAAAGTCCAGTGAGCCCCGACTGGAGTGGCTCAGTTGATTGGGCGTCACACCGCAAAGAAGAAGGTTCCTGGTTGTATCCCTGTCCGGGCACGTGCCTGGGTCACGGGTTTAGTCCCTGGTTGGGATGTGAGCAGGAGGTAGCCGATCGTGGTCTCTCTCACACATCAGTGTTTCTCTCCCTCTCTTTTGCCCTCCCTTCCCATGTCTCTAAAATATAAATAAATAAAATCTTTAGGAAAAAATAAAATCCAGCGAATAATAAACATCTGTGAAACCAATTCAAAGTTTAAGATGTAAAACATTGCAGATACAATTGTATACATTGTGGATTCTTCACCATCTCATTCCCCTTTCTTCTTTCTCAGCTGTAATCACTGATTAAAATCTGTATGCATTTTTCATTTTTTATGACCTTTTTTTTACATGAATGGTATCATCTACACACTTTTTTATAGTTTGTTTTTAAATCAACATTATTTAAGATTACTAAGAGCCAATTTTTAAATTTTTATTGTCTTTTTTCCGTTACTATTTAACCCCCTTACACTCCCCTCCCTCCTGCAGTCACCACACTGTTGTCATGTCTATGAGTCCAAATGTTTCCAAGTTTAGTTTAATTTCTGAACAGTGTTTCCCCTTACATAGTCTTGCCTTTCTGCTCGGTGTGACATTGCTGTAAAACAACTAATAACTTGTCTGTAAATTCTCTTGAATTTTCTTTGTAGATAATTATCTCCTCGGTAAATAATACTAAATTTGTTTTATCTTTTTAATTCTTAATCTTTAAAACGTATTTGTTATCTCTCATTATTCTGCCTGGAAATTGTAGTACAGTTTTGTATTGAAATAGCAGGCATCTTTATGTTGGTCCTGATATTTGCTGGATTTTAATCTGTCTTGTATCTCATTAAATAAGTTGAATCTTATTGAATGCTTTCAAGCATCTTTTGAAATAACTCTTTTCTTTTAGAATTGAGACTATCATGAGTTATATTGACTTTAATATACAATTTTGGCATACAGAGAATGAGCCTCCAATGTTGATAGGATGAATTTTTTTACATGTTGCTAGATTCACTTAAAATATTTTCTAAAAAATATTTTTGCATATTTTCACTGTATCCATAAGTGAGATTGGAATGTGGTGTTTTTTTTTTGATGCTATACCTCTCCTTATTTTTATGTAAAAATTTTTTGAAATACCCATGCAAAGACATGTACAAATCATACGTGTACCTCAGTAAAGCTTTGTGAGGTGAACACACTGGGGTAGCCAGCAGGAAGCAGAACCCTGCTCCCAGACGGGAGCCGCTGGCCCAACTTCAACACTTTAATGTTCGTTTTCCTGTTTTTTTTTAAATTTTGTGTCAGCGGAGCTGTACATTATGTAGTTTTTTGATAAGGTGTCTTTTGACCAACATTGTGTTTATAATATCCACCCCTGTTGTAATTTTTTTCATTTTCATTACTATTTAATATTACACAATTTATCCATTCTTCCATTAAAAAACACTTGGGTGGGGTTTTTTTGGAATAGTACTTTTAAGAACATTCTTGTACTTGCCTAGTGGTGAATGATACATGCACACTTCTTCCGAGTGCTTGTCTAGGAGTGGTTATTGGTGTGGATGTGTTCCGCTTTCACAGTTACTGCTGTTTCCCAAAGTCGTCGTCCTAGACTGATGAATTTGGGAATCTTCTCTGACAGTTTATACGTGATTGAGATGATCTGTTCTTTGAATATTGGGTAGAATTCATCCATAAAGTAACATGAGTGTATCATTTTTTCATTGTTGTGGTTATTTTGTTGGGTTTTCTTTTCCCCGTTTTGGTCTGTGGGTAGTATGTTTAACTGTTGATTTTCTTTATATGATGGAAATATCTATCTAGCTTTTCAATTTCTCCTTGAATTTTTCTTGATAAATTCTTTTTTCTAGGAAATTGTTCATTTCACTTTAATTTTTCCAGTTGATTAAGGCAGTATTCTTCATAGTATTACTTTTGCTTTATTCTCTGATCTATCAATAATCATGTCCTCTGGTATTTATGATATTACTTTACTCTCTCCTTGGTTAGTCTTGTCAGAAGTTTGTTTGTATTAGAAAGAATCAGCTTTTGGTTTTGTTAATGTTCTTAGTTGAATCACTGCTATTTTCAAATTTTCTGCTCTCCTTGATTTTCTTCCTCTGAGTTTAATATTCTATTTCTTTTGTCTTAATCAGACACTTAGCACATTCATTTTTAGTCTTTTTTAATACAAGCATTTATTAAAATTTTTCACTTTTGCTTAACATGTATCCCACAAGTGTTGATGGTGCAGCATCTTCATTTTTGTTCAGTTCTAAGTATTAAAATTTTTCTTTTTTGACCAGTATCTTAAAGTGTCAGTTTTGAAAGTATTTTAAGAAAATTGATTTCCAGTCCTTTTCCACTGTGATTAGAGCATCAGCTGTAAGATATGAATTATTTGGTATAATTTGAGACTTTATTTGTGGCCAGGTTTGAGGTCATTTAAAAAAAAATGAACGTGTCACCCTGATGGGTATAGTTGGTTGGGTGTCATCCCACAAAGCAAAAGGTTGCCAGTTCAGTTCCTGATCAGGGCACGTGCCTGGCTTGTGGGCCTGGTCCCTGGTTGGGCACGTGCTAGCGGCAGCGGTTGGTGTTCCTGTCCAACGTGGATGTTTCTCTCCCTCCCTCCCTTCCCCTCTCTCTAAAAATAAATTAATTAACTCAGTGTCTGTTTCATGAAAAGAGTGCATTGTCTCTGTTGGGTACAGGATTCTACATATCTGTTAGATCAAGCTTATTTTTTATTACATTGCTCAAATTTACTAACTTTTTAAAAATTGATTTATCAAGTATTAGGTATGTTTTATTAAAATTTGTATTTTGCCATGTATAATACCTACTTTTCTGCCCAAATTTTTGAGGGAAAAACGAAGGTGCACATTATACCTGGGTAGTACTAATTCTGTATGTATATAAATATTTTTAGTTATTTTATTTATGCTTATGTGTTAAAAGTGCAGCTCTAGAAAGCAGTGACAATGTCCATATGGCAAATAATACCCTGGAATATCATAATCAGTTTTGCTTCTAAATACAAATAAATAAAAATTTGAATTAAATAATTAAAGTGGAAAATGTTTTGTCCTGAAAGTTCGGGCCAAAAACGAGGGTGTGCATTACACACAAGAGCATGTTGTACATGGCAAAATACAGTGTTTCAGTTGCTTGTTTCTTCTTGTAAGTTGATAATGTTTTTTGTTTTGTTATGAGGCTATGCTTTAGGTGTGCACACACTTAGAATTGCAGCCATCTTTAACCCACAACTAATTTTGAACTTTTTATTCTAGGTTCATGCTTTAAATATCCTTAGAGCCTTATTTAGAGACACGCGTCTGGGAGAAAATATTCTTCCTTATGTTGCTGATGGAGCTAAGGCTGCAATTCTGGGCTTTACATCACCGGTCTGGGCAGTGAGTGCTTTTGCCATTTACTTTCTTTGATTTAATTTTGCTTCGGAATAGTTTTTAATAAAGTAACCTTTCACTGAATGATTAAAAAATATGTACAGCATGTTAGCAAGGAGTTTGTTCAAAGGATAAATCCTTGGATCAAGTAACATTTTCACTCTCGGTGTTTTATGATTGTGTTCCCGCTCTTTGTTGGCTTATTAACTGTTTTCTTACTGTAGTGATTTCTTTAGAGTTTTTAATCTATAACTCTAACCTCACAGTCTACCCCTCAAGTGATATTGTACCACTTTACCTAACGTGGAAAAACCTAGCAATAGCTACTTCCATTTTTCGCCTCCCAATCTTTGTGATGTTAAACATTTTGCTTTTATGTATGTCGTAGACCCATACTCTATTATTATTTTTATTTAAACTGTCAGTTATCTCTTTTTTAAAGTTTACTTTTAACTACTTCTAAGTGTGCAATTCAGTGGCATGAAGCATTCACACTCAGTGTTGTGCAGTCATCACCACTGTCTGTTTTGAGGACTTTTTCATCATCCCAAACCAAAGCTTTATACTCGTTGAATAGTAACTTCCCATCTCTCCCTTCCCCTAATACCTGGTAACCAGTGTTTCTATTCTGTCTCTATGAATTTGCCTATTCCAGGTAGCTCATATAGATGAAATCATACAATATTTGTCCTTTTGTATTTGGATTATTTCACTTAGCATATGTTTTTAAGGTTCAGCTATATTGTAACATCCATCATAATTTTATTTCCTTTTAAGGCTACCTGATACTCCATTGTATATATATAACATTTTGTTTATTCATTCATCTGTTGGTGGACATTTAGATTTTTTCTTTTTGGCTGTTGTGAATAAAATGGGTGTGAAGTGGTAACTTATTCTGGTTTTGATTTGCATTTCCCTGATGATTAGTAATGTGGAGCTGAAAGCCAAATGGCTCTTAGTATCTTAATATGTCTTTCTTTTGGACACCGTGGGCTCTGGGTATCAATGTGTTGAATGATTGCTATAAATATACCCCATTGAAAGGTGAAGAAACAAGCAAAGCATTAAAATAGGGGAGGTTAAATACTGAATCATTTTTTTTTTTACAGTATGATTACTTTCCAGAAACCTTTTGACTCAAAACGCTAAAGATAGTGGGCAATAATACCCAGTAGATCTATTGGATTTAAGAAAATAAACTTATACATGTTTTTTCATGATTCTCGGGAGAAACACCATGATATTACTGTTATCCTATATCCTTATGCCTTCTAAAATAAAAGAGACTAACCTATGGTTTGTAGGTGTTTGACATGTGGCTTTAAAGAAAAGACTGGCAAGGGTAGAGAAGAAAAGAAGCTAGACCTTAATACATTACTTGCAGAACAAAGAATTTTCTAGAAATGCAAACTTTCCAATTAGCTACATAAATTGTTTCATAACTATATGATAAGTCTCTAATTGAAAGTCAGTATACTGCAGTGTAGCTAAAGGCATAGACACCTCACGTAAAGTGTAATCCTCACGGCTGCCACCTCTTGCCTGGAAAATCGTGCACCTTCCTGTAAGACAGCCGTCTGAAATTCTGTCTAGGAGCATTGCCTAACTGCGACTGAGGACACAGTGTCTACCTTATGCATTTACAGGAAGTGGAGCAATACCTTTGTGCTGTCAGCTGAGTCACAGAAGCAGGAATGCGACTTGACCATCAGGAACCATAGAGATCATGAAACTGATTGCCAGAAACATTGTTTTCTTTTTTTTTTTTTAAGCCATTAGTTTCAGATGAACAAAGAAATGTTTTCTGTGAAAGGGTTTTTTCTGTGAGTGAAACCTGGTAACTTTTCCAACTTTTTAGCAAAACTAAAAATATCAAAAGAATGTTTCATTTATTTAAAAGGCCTTTATTAAGACTTTTTAAAAAGTAACACATGTGCACTTCACATGAAACATTTTCTAGGACAGACCACATGTTAGGACATAAAACAAGTCTCAGTAAATTTAAGAAGACTGAAATGACATCAGGCATCTTCTCTGACCACAATGCTGTGAAACTAGAAATCAGCTACAAGGAGAACACTGAAAAACACACAAAGACATGGAAGCTAAATAGCATGTTATTAAATAATAAATGGGTCAACAATGAGATCAAGGAAGAAACCACAAGATACCTTGAAACAAATGAAAATGAAGACAACAACCCCAAATCTGTGGGACACTGGGAAAGCAACCCTAAGAGGGAAATTCATAGCATTACAGGCCTATCTCAATAAACAAGAAGAAGCTCAAATAAACAATCTACCTTCACACTTAAAAAACTTGAAATAGAACAACAAACAAAGCCCAAAGTAAGTAGAAGGAAGGATATAATAAAGATCGGAGTAGAAATAAATGAAATAGAATCTAAAAGAATAATACAAAAGATCAGTGAATCCAAGATCTGGTTCTCTGAAAAGATAAACAAGATTGGCAACCCTTTAACCAGACTCATTAAGAAAAATAGAGAAAGGACCCAAATAAATAAAATCAGAAATGAGAGAGGAGAAATAACAACTGACACCAAAGAAACACAAAGGATTGTAAGACAGTGTTATGAACAACTATAAGCCAACAATCTGGACAACCTGGACGAAATGGATAAATTCCTAGAAACATGCAATCTTCTAAAACTAAGTCAGGAAGAAGCAGAGAATGTGAATAGACAGGTTACATCTAGAGAAATTGTAACAGTAATTAAAAAAAAAAACTCCCAACAAATAAAAGCCCTAGGCCAGAAGGTTTTCTGGGGCTTTATAGGTGAATTTTACCAAAGATTTCGAGAACTAACACTTCTCCTTCTCAAACTGTTTCATAAAATTCAAGAGGAAAGAAGGCTCCCAAACTCATTTTACGAGGCCAGCATTATCCTAATTCTAAAACCAGGTAAAGACACTACAAAAAAAGAAAATTGCAGGCCAATATCCCTGATGAACACAGACACTAAAATCCTCAACAAAATATTAGTAAACCAAATACAACAAATGCATCAAAAGCTCATACACCTAATCAAATGTGATTTGTTCCAGAAATGCAGGGTTGGTAAAACATTTGCAAATCAATAAATGTGATTCACCACATAAATGAAATGAAGGATAAAAACCACATGATCAGTAATAGATGCAGAAAAAGCATTTGAGAAAATCCAGCACCCATTTATGATAAAAACTCAGCAAAGTGAGATTAGATGGAACTTACCTAAAAATAATAAAGGTCATATATGACAAACCCACTGCCAGCATCATACTCAATAAGAAAAACCTACAGATGTTCCGCTTAAGATCAGGATCGAGACAGGGATGTCCACTTTGACCTCTCTTATTCAACATAGTACTGGAAGTCCTAGCCACAGCAGTCAAACAAGAAGAAGAAATGGAAGGCACCCAAATTGAAAAGGAAGAAGGAAGACGTAAAACTGCCATTATTTGCAGATGACATGATATTGTACATAGAGAGTCCCAAAGATTCCACCAAGAAACTACTAGAACTGGTAAATGAATTCAGCAAAGTAGCAGGACACAAAATTAATATCCAGAAATCAGTTGCATTTTTATATGCCAATAACGAGCTAACAGAAAGGGAAATCAAGAAAACAATCCTGTTCACAATTGCTACAAAAAAGAATAATATAGCTAAGAATAAATCTAACCAAAGTTGTAAAAGACCTGTACTCAGAAAATTATAAGATGCTGAAGAAAGAAATAAAAGATACAAATAAGTAGAAGCACATACTGTGTCCATGGACAAGAAGAATTAACATCATAAAAATGTCTATACTGCCCAAAGTAATCTATAGATTCAGTGCAATTCCTATCAAGATTTTAATGACCTGTTTCATAGAACTAGAACAAATATTTCGAAAGTGAACATGGAGCCACAAAAGGCCTCACATACCAACAGCAATCCAAAAAGGAAGAACAAAGTTGGAGAAACTATGCTAACTAATATCATCAAACTATACTAGAAGGCCATAATAATCAAAACAGCCTCATACTGGCATAAAAACAGACACATTGATCAATGGACAGAATAGAGAGCCCAGAAATAAACCCACTCCGTTATAGTCATTCAATATTTGAGGAAGCAAGCACGTACAGTGGGCTAAAGATAGTTTATTCAATAAATGGTGTTGGGAAATTTGGACAGATACATGCAGAAAAATGAAAATAGACAACTTTCTCACACCATACACAGTAATAAATTCAAAATGGGTCAAACTCTTAAATGTTAGACCTGGAACCATGAAAATCATAGAAGAAAACACAGGCAGCAAAATCTCAGACACTGCTTATAGAAATATTTTATCAGACACATCTTCCCCAAGGAAGGGAAACAAAAGAAAAACAACTAGGACTACATCAATCTAAAAAGCTTTTGCATGGCAAAGGAAATCATCAACAAAATAAAAAGACAACCCACAGAATGAGAGAACATATTTGCTGATACCTCTAATAAGGGGCTAGTACCCCAAATTTATATAGTACTTAAAAAACTCAACACCAAAAAAAACAAACAGCCCAATTAAAAAATGGGCAAAGGACATGAATAGACACTTCTCCAAAGAAGACATACACATGGCCAATAGACATATGAAAAGGTTCTCAACATCACTATATCATCAGAGAAATGCAAATTAAAACCACAGTGAGATACCATCTCACACGTGTCAGAATGGCTGTCATCAGTAAATCAACAAACAAGTGCTGGCGAAAGTGTAGAGAAAGGGGAACCCTTTTGTACTGTTGGTGGGAATGCAGATTGGTGCAACCACTGTGGACAGCAATATGGAAATACCTCAAAAAATTAAAAGTGATTCTGCCTTTCTACCCAGTGATCCCATTTCTGTGAATATATCCAAAGGAACCCAAAATACTAATTTGAAACAACATGACCACCCCTATGTTCATTTGCAGTATTATTTACAATCACCAAGATATGGAATCAACCCAAGTGTCCACCAGTAGATG